CTGGAATGGAAAAAAGGCAGGAAAATGCAGAAAGTACATAAACTTTGAATAAAGATTTCCATTTTTTTAAAGATTTTTTTTTCTTAAGTATGTTGAGGCTCTGGAATCAAAAAGATATGAAGGCCTCTTCCTGTCTAGCTTAGCAAGTACACCATTACACATTCTTGACTGTTCCAGGTCTCATCAAAATATTTTCAAAGGGCACACATACTCACACACCACAAAAAAGTAAACATTGTTTCCAAGAAGCATGTATCATATTGTTAAGTATGTGGTTATTTCATCAGTCAGTTTTAAAGGTCACCTAAAATCCAGTATCTGAATGCTGGAGGCAAGAAAGAGCACTTAGGTTCAAGAGAAGCCAGAACCCCACAATGGCTAAAACAAAGTAAGAAAATGTAGTTTTGTTTGTTTTGCGGTACGCGGGCCTCTCACTGTTGTGGCCTGTCCCGTTGTGGAGCACAGGCTCCAGACGCGCAGGCTCAGCGGCCATGGCTCACGGGCCCAGCCGCTCCGCGGCATGTGGGATCTTCCCGGACCGGGGCACGAACCCGTGTCCCCTGCATCGGCAGGCGGACTCTCAACCACTGCGCCACCAGGGAAGCCCAGAAAATGTAAAAACAAAGTAAGAAAATGTAGTTTTTATATTTCCAGCTATTTCATTTTAGAACTAGAATAACAATGAGGAAGAAGAAATGATTAACAATGATTTAAAGAAATACTCTTTTATAGCTGCAAATACATTTTCAGTTCTTGTCCAGAGAACACTGCTACTTGGTAAAAGTGGGATGAGAGCTCTTATGAAAGAGGAATTTCAGGATGGAAAGATGATGATTTTTTTTCAAATTTGAAGTTTATTCTTTAATGAGTTTTTTATTTGATCAGTTTTAGATTTATTTTTAAAAGTACAAAGATAAAACACAGTCCCCATATATCCCATACCCAGTTTGCCCTACAACTTACATTAGTATATTTGTCACAGTTGACACATTATTATTAACTAAAGTCCAGACATTAACTAAACTACTCAGATTTCATTAGTTTTCCTCTAAAGTCCCTTTTCTATACCAGGTTACTACATTAATTTTAATCATCATCCTTAGGCTTCTCTTGACTGTGACAGTTTCTGAAGACTTTATTTATGTTGGCCTTGAGAGTTTTGAGGAGTACTGGTCAGGTATTTTGTTGAAAGTCTGATTTATCTCATGTTTTTCTCTTGGTTAGACTGGGGTTATGGGTTTTGGGGAAGAAGGTCACAAAGATGCCATTTGCATCACACCATACCAAGGGTGCATACTATCAATGTGACTCATCACTGTTGATGTTAACTTTGATCTCCTTGCCGAGGTCACGTTTGTCAGATTTCTCCAATGGAAATTTACTTTTTCCCCCTTTCCACACTGTCATCTTTGGAAGGAAGTCACTATGAAGAGCTCACACTTAAGGAGTGAGGAGTTATGCTCTACCACGATAAGGGCAGAGTATCTATATAACTTGGACTTCTTTTGCACCATGGATTTGGCTATTCTCCTCCATTTGTTTATTTAAGTCAATCACTGTTTTATATTAGTATGGACTCATGGATATTTATTTTATACTTTGGGTTATCATCCAAAACTAGTTTTTGTTTTGTTTTGTTACTTTTTTTAAACATCTTTATTGGAGCATAATTGCTTTACAATGGTGTGTTACTTTCTGCTCTATTAAAACTATTTTATTTTGTTGCTCAGTTTGAGTCATTAGGAGTTCTTTCAGATGGCTCCTTGGACTTTGACAGACACACGTAATTCTGGGTTCTTCTTGCTGCTCTTTGAGCATTTCCTTATTTTCTGGCATTATAGATGCTCCAGCTTCATCTTGCATGTTGCCTGCCCCAGTCCCAGCCGTTTCTCCAAGAAGCCCTGGTTCCTTTACTGGAGAATATATTAGAAGCCAAGATCCAGGCGCTAGGGTACACTCACTGCTTCTAAACCCACTCAGCTGACAAACAAGGAAATATATGTGTGTATGCTATCACTTGCAAACAACCATATCTATAATTATTTCTATATGCAACCATCTGTATCTATAGTATGCTAAACATGAGTTCATAGTGATGTCTCCAATTCTAATCCATTTCCACATGGATCATTCTAGCCTCCTCCCCTTGCTCATCTGTAATCTCCCACTTCAGCAGTGAGAAACCTGGCTCCCATCACTTGCACCCATTTACTAAATTGCTCAATTCCAGGATATATGTACAGTGGTACCAGTATTGTTAACCTGTACCCCTATGGGAAACAACTCTATCAACTACAGTACAGTATTTATGTACAGTTCCTTTTGCCTTTAGCCTTACAGATTCAACTCATTTCCAAAGTTACTTAGGTCAGTATCTTTTTCCTCTACTCCCTTCAGTGAGGTTGTTTCATACATTTTTAATATAGCTAGATTGTTCTGTCACATTTTACATTTCATCCTAGGATCCTCTGACGTCTTGATTATTTATTTACATATTATCAAACAAAATAACAAGTTTTATTCTCAACAAAGGGTAGGATAAGAGTGGGAAGGGGAGAAGCCACTGATGGAACTTGAAAGGAAAAGTACCAGTTTAGAGCTTTTCTTAAGTTTCTGTCTAGTATCTGCTTAAAAATAGAAGTTTATTGAAAGCTAATATAATTTGTTTTTTTAAAGGTATTGAAATCTTTGCATACAATAAAGGACATGGTAAAAATCAAAAGTAAGAAACATAGCTCCCTTTCACAATTAACACATGGAGTTTTGTAGGAGCTTTCAGTAACTTTATTCAATTTTCCTATTTGTAAAATGGGAATAAAAAGTTTCTCATCCAGACTAAGAATTTATAGTAGGCATATGGATAGTATTCTGCCATTCAAGGGTAAAAATGTAACCACTACTTTAGTTTAATAAATGTAGACTCTATGCCTTGAAGGAAGTAAGCTCTACCCAGTTATATTTTTCACACAATTGTGAAATTTTACATTTTCACACAATTATATTCATAAAGCATTGTAACCCTGATGATTACTATTTGCTCATATCACTAAGCAATTATTTCTGTCTAGTAACCTGGGATCCTTGGGCATTTTAAGTCCTTACAGTATCCAAACAGTTACCAGTATATATCTAGATTTATTCTTAAGCATGTGGGAAAATTTATATATAGAGATTTGGTGGTCATTCATGGAAGATTATCTTGACTATAATAAAATTCCCCAAAAAAAAAGAAAAGAAAAAGGAGAAAAAAAATCTTTGAGGATTAAAAAAATTTTTTATCCCTGTAAGACTGCATAAATGCCATTTATTTACTAACATATAATCACAAACTTCCAAAAATACACCTTAAACTCCTGCTGTGATCATGTGTTTTACTGAATTTTCAGAAAAGGAGACATCAAGAGTAAATTCAAGTCAACCTTTCAGGAGCAAAATGTGCCCACGGACCTTCTGAGTTTCTTTAAGGAAACCAGCATTTATCAATAACTCATTCCTACTCAACACTTTACATGCAGTGTAATTCACAAGTCTAATCTCTTTCTTTGTAGTAAGCACTGAGAAGAAAGCCATGTTTGAGGCCATTACTGAGAATTTCTTCTAAATACTGTCGATAGTTTCTTCTTCCCCGTTATTCTAATTCAAAAATGAAATATCTGAGAGTATAAAATCTAGAATTTCCTAGTTAAATATTCAGAGACAGTGTATTGTCAAATCTTACTGAAAAGCCCATCTTCAATAATTTCAAAAAAATCTGAAGATACAGTAGGAACACCTATTTCTTTCCCTCGCAGACTCCCAAGAATATCAAACAAGTTATTCTATAGATAAGTCACTACGCTTTTGTACTGATGTAAATTTGCACCACCCCTGCACTATCCCAAAGGCCACCTCAGACTCCAGCAGAAATGACAGGAAGCAAACTCATTCTGAGCAGGGAGGGAAACCAGAGCAGGAGGTAAGATTAGAGGCAAAGAACGGGATAATGAGAGCTCAAAGTCAAAGTGATGGCTTTCAAAATATGATCTAGAAGGTTTTTTGGGGGGTGAGTTGGGGGAGAGATGTAAGCAATTTACCGAGACCACTGCCTCCATTAAGGGAGTCCAACGCTATAAAAGAAGACGCTGAAAACAAGCTCACAGAGATGAACGCTCCTCCAACCAAGATCTGCTATAATTATTGTATTGCTTTGCAGTACATTAGCACAAAGAAATAGGTAGAATAATGAGGAATCAATAAAGTTTGATTTGAAAATTCTCAAATTCTAAAAACCCTGAACAACTGTTAGAGGACAGGCAAGAAGAAAAGAACAAATGACTGCCTAAATACCCACCCTCTGAACATCGATGCCTCATCAATTCCTTCTCCCCACACAAAAAATCAGCAGTCTCCTTGGTGTCAGATACCCAGAATCATGGCCAAAGAGGCAAGTGTGGACTCAGCAGGACTGACTGTCACCCTCAGAACCAAATCCTTCCAGTGTTTGAGGGTTCATATTACATAATAACTGACAAAGTCCAGGGAGGCATTGCTGCCAAGAGACAGGTACAGTAAGAAAGCCACAAAGCGGAGCTGGCTTTATTTGGAAGCACTTTGCCAGGCTTCACACCAACCCAACTTGGCAGCCATGTAATCCCTCAGGGGGAATATGAAGGAACTTTGAGAAAGTATTTGCTCAAAGATACATATCGTTTCCATCTACAGTACTGGAAGCTGCCAGCAGAGATCTCAACAGAGAGCTAGGCTCGGCATTTAACCATTAAACCTGACTTTCAGTCTCCTAACTCAGAAATACGGGGGCTTAATAAAGTAATCTTTTCATCCTGACTTAAGGGAAGTAATCCTATTAAGAGTTCAGCATGCCTGGGAATTTACCTGCTTCACTGTGGGTCGAAGGATTTAAGGTTAGATGGGTAATGCCACAATAAAGAGAAGTGTCTTTACACACCTCCCGGTGTGTAAGATTAATGGGCAGGGGACTGCAGAGTGCCCAGATAACCTACCTGCCACTCTGGTCTGAGGTCCACGTAACTGATCGCCCCTGGGGTTTGGTTGTGTACTGTATCCTTATGGCATGAGGAAAGTCAGTAGCTGTCTGAACCCCTGTCTTCCTGATCTGTAAGCTCCAAGTGTCAATGTCAAACAGGAGTTCCCCACAACCAGGAGCCTGGCTGCAGCGAGCATAATAGTCTAACTGCTCCCTCCAACGATCTGCAGGCAGAGCCACGAGTTCACATACAATCTGATTCCTGAGCTTGGGAGACCTTGTAAATTTTTCAATACCTGGCACAGCAGCAACATCCACCTCCTCAACCTTTAACACAGATAAATCACAGCAGTCCAACACTAGCAAAAAATCCTCACTCCCATGATTCCCTGCGTCACAGCAGTACTTTGAGCTAGAAATCCCAGAAGCCTGTTCCTGGTTGTCATGGTTATCATCTTTACCAGACGTATCTTTTTCACCTTTACCACAGATTACAAAATCATTATATCCCATTTTAGATGAGACGGTCCTTGTATTTGTTACAGGAATATGGCAGGGTTCAGGCGTCCTAAATTTGCAGGCTTTGTTTGACTCTGATGGGTAGGTTTCCTCAGTGGAACTACTCTGTTTCTTGAATTTATTTCCAGACTCGAAGAAAAGCACTATGGTGCCCTCAATGATTTGACTTTCGAAATCCACATCTAAATCCAGTACATAGTGCTTCACAAGTATGTGGCTGGTGTTGGCCATGAGAGGCAGGTCATCTCGGGAAGGATCCAGCTTTATGTCCATGGTATAGGTGTTGTTCGAGAACTTTGTTTAAATCTCAGAAGGGGCTTCCTGTCAGTCCCAATCTTCCAGAGTCATAAATGGCTGCTTACCAAAAAACACCCGATGTCACAAATTAGGGTTCCACAACTTTCAGTCCCCTGGTAAAGAAGAAAAACACAATCACACAAAATTCCAAACAAGACCCTTTGCTCCTGCAACTGCTGCTTCTGCAAGTTGACTACCTCCTTAAATAATTCCCCAATGTAGTAGAAGCTCATGGCTAGAAGGCAGACTAATCTTTTTGACTGACATCAAAGAAAATTACATTATGGGTTTCTAAAAATATTTCAATTATCAATGGAATGAAAGGGGCCTCCACAAAACCAGAAGAATCATGTTCCTAACTAGAACAGTCCTTGTTCCAGAAAACAGCAATTGTTAGGCAAAAGTGTAACATCACTGTACCTCTTGTTTTAAAAGATATTAAATGTATCGTTTCTAATTTTGTGCACCAAAAGAAAAGGGATTGTTTCTCTACTGTGATTCTAAGTAACAAATGTGAATGAAGGCTAAATGGTCTCATATGTTTTATTCTTTGAGAGTAATCATTTAATACATACAATGTAACTCCAGGGATTATTGTACTTTTCACATTAGGACTGCTCTCATATCAGCACTTCCAGTAAATTACAGGAAAATGAGCCAATTTACCAAGAGTGCATTCTAAGTATTCCTTTGAGATTGTTCATGGAGATTTTTCAAATTTATAGTTAAATACTCAAGGTATATCATTACATCTTAATAGCTGAAAGCCCATTAACATTCTGGATAATAGCCTTCTTGTGGCAAACGAAAAGGTCTTCTCATCTGAAAAAAAAAAAAAGGTATGCAAATGCCTATAAAAGGAAGGAGAGAAATTAAAACGTGGAAACAGATGTTGTAATAAAACGCCCAAGTTCTTCATAGAAGTTCGGATCAAAATGTAGTCCTATTTTATAACAGCAATCCAGCTAAAAGAAAAATTATTTGAAATTATTTCAGTCCCTGTTGTGTACCTAATTTCTTTCAGCATATTTTTTTTTAACCAAAAGTGGAAAAAAAAAATGGCAGGGAAAAAGAAACAAAAACTCTGACAGAGTAGATTTATTTAAAATCACTTTTGTATTTCTAAATATCAAGAGGTATTCTTTTATCAACAGCAAAACATTACTTGCTTGACTTTTCAAGTAAAATTGAGCCCTCCATTTTTATTGTTTAACTCCTCCTCACTTCCCTTCTAACTTTTTCGGCCAATCTACTAGACTCTTATTTCCTTTCCTTCTAGAATCTCATTCCAACAATCAAAACTATTGAACTTTCATTTTCTACCTCTCTACAGGCTATTTCCTCATCAAAATCTCACCTATCCTTAAAAGAAGCTGGCTTCCTGCAGCCTTGTACAATCTGGTTTCAGGCTATTTTTTCCAGTCATGGAGACCACACTCCCTTTGAATCCTTGTCCTCTAGTCAAAGGGCCTGCTCAGCACACTGCTCCCTAAAGATGACCTGACATCTTGCCTCCATGCTTTTTGGAGGCAAGTAGTGTGCCACACCTGGAGTGCTCCTGGCTCCCACCTCCCATATCCACCTGCCAAATTCTCTTCTCCCTCCACACAGTTCAAGTCCAATTGCCTCCTGAAATCCTTCCCTGCTCCCTACTCTCCCTCCCCCATCCCCACCAAACTGTATGTGGTAATACACACTTTGACTTTAAGAATGATAGGAATTGAGAGAAATCAGGGAGGTAAAAGAATAGTCTGAGATTACCTTAAGGAGAAGCTGGCACTCACTTTAATCCTAGAAAAGTCAATGGGCAAAGGGAATAAGCCAGGGTATTTTCTTTTCTGCATGAGAACAATTGAACTTGTCACATAATGAATAATAAACTACAATAAAGCTACTGGCTATATCTATGTAATCAGAAACAATGGATGCTAAAACTTCATCCTGCTGGTGTTTGGAGCTGCTGTAATGCAGTATTTTGTTGACTGGGCTATTAAAATTTTTTTTAATAAAAAAAAAAACTGAATACACACACGAGGAAAAGCCTGAATCAATTAAGACAAGGCTTAACTTTGTGGCTGTCTAAACTATCAAATTTGAAAAAGAATACTTTAGTATTTCTAATAATATAGATAAAACCATTTATTGTCTAACCCTAATAGATTCCTTCATTTACTTGTGAAAGTTAATATCATTTAATAAAATATATTCTATAGAGTAGTTTTCATCACTTCTGTCCCTCGTGGCTGTCCCTAGGCTGCCTTAGAGCCCTGCCCATCCAAGACTGTTAATGTCACTTTGTTTGTCAACCTAACTGGAAATCCTTTTGTCCTCTTCAGTAGATTCTTTTTTTTTTGAATTGAAGTCTAGTTGATGAACAATATTATATAAGCTACAGGTATACAATTCAGTGATTCACAACTTTTAAAGGTTACACTCCATTTATAGTTATTATAAAATATTGGCTATATTCCCTGTGTCGTACAATGTATCATTGTAGCTTATTTTATACATAATTGTTCATACCTCTTAATCCCCTACCCTTATGTTGCCCCTCCTCCTTCCCTCTCCCCACTGATAATCACTAATTTGTTCTCTATATCTGTGAGCCTGCTTCTTTTTTGTTATATTCACTCGTTTGTAGAATTTTTCAGATTCTACATATAAGTGATCTCATACAGTATTTGTCTTTCTCTGTCTGACTTATTTCACTTAGAATAATACCGTCGAAGTCCACCCACATTGTTACAAAAGGCAAGATTTTCATTCCTTTCTATGGCTGCATAGTATTCCATTGTATATGTATACCACATCTTCTTTATCTGTTCATGGACATTTACGTGGCTTCTGTATCTTGGTAAGTGTAAGTAATGCTGCTAAGAACACTGGGGTGCGTGAATCTTTTCCAATTAGCGTTGTTGTTGTTGTTGTTTGAATATATACCCAGGAGTGGAATTGCTGGGTCATATGGTAGTTTTATTTTCAGTTTTTTGAGAAACTTACATACTGTTTTCCACAGTGGCTGCAACAATTTACATTCCCACAACAGTGTACAAGGGTTTCCTTTTCTTCACATCCCCTCCAACATTTGTTATTTGTGTTCTTTTTGATGACAGCCATTCTGACAGGTGTGAGGTGATATCTCATTGTGGTTTTGATTTGCATTTCCCTGACGATGAGTGATGTTGAGCATCTTTTCATGTGCCTGTTGGCCATCTGCATTTCCTCTTTGGATAAATGTCTATTCAGGTCTTCTCTGCCCATTTTTTAATCAGGTTGTTTGTTTGGTTTTTTGTTGTTGTTGTTGTTTTGATTTTGGTTTTTTTTTTTTTTTGATGTTGAACTGTATGAGCTGTTTATATATTTTGGATATTAACCCCTTATCAGTCACATCATTTGCAAATATTTTCTCCCATTTAGTAGGTTTAGTAGGTTATCTTTTGTTTTTGTTTTTTTTTCCTTTGCTGTACAGAAGCTTTTAAGTTTAATTAGATCCCATTTATTATTTGTGCTTTTATTTCCTTTGTTTAGGAGATAGAGCCAAAAGAACATTGCTGTGATTTATGTCAGAGTGTTCTGCCTGTGTTTTCCTCTGGGAGTTTTATGGTTTTGGGTCTTACATTTATGTCCTTAATCCATTTTGAGTTTATTTTTGTGTACACTGTTAGAGAACGTTCTGATTTCATTCTTTCACATGTAGCTGTCCAGTTTTCCCAGAACCACTTATTTAAGAGACTTTCTTTTCTCCCTTGTATATTCTTGCCTCTTTTGTTGTAGACTAGTGACTTTATTCCTGGGCATTCTATCCTGCTCCATTTGTCTATATTCTGTTTTTGTGCCAATACCATTCTGTTTTGATTACTGTAGCTTTGTAGTATAGTCTGATGTCAGAGAGTGTGATTCCTCCAGCTCTACTCTTCTTTCTCAAGATTGTTTTGGCTATTTGGGGTCTTTTGTGTTTCCATACAAATTAAAATTTTTTTTGTTCTAGGTCTGTGAAAAATACCATTGGTATTTTGATAGGGATTGCATTGAATCTGTAGATTGCCTTGGATAGTATGGTCATTTTAACAATACTGATTCTTCCAATCCAAGAACATGGTACAGCTTTCCATCTGTTTGTGTCATCTTCAGTTTCTTTTGTCAGCGTCTTATAGTTTTCAGAGTACAGGTCTTCTGCCTCCTGTGGTAAGTTTATCCCTAGGTATTTTATTATTTTTGATGTTATGGTAAAGGGGATTGTTTCTTTAATTTCTATTTCTGATAGCTGTTGGTGTACAGAAATGCAACAGATTTCTGTATATTAATTTTATATCCTGCAACTTTACTGAATTCATTGATGAGTTGTAGTAGTTTTCTGGCATCTTTAGGATTTTCTACAAATAGTATCATGTCATCTGCAAATATCATGTCATCTGCAAATAGTGACAGTTTTACTTCTTCTTTTCCAATTTGGATTCTGTTTATATCTTTTTCTTCTCTGATTGCTGGGGCTAGGGCTTCCAATAATATGATGAATAAAACAAGACAAGGGCATCCTTGTCTTGTTCCTGATCTCAGAGGAAATGCTTTCAGCTTTTCACTGTTGAGTTAGCTGTGGGTAGGTCCTATATGGTCTTTATTATGTTGAGATATGTTCCCTCTATGCCCACTTTCTGGAAAGTTTTTAATCATAAATGGATGTTGAATTTTGTCAAAAGCTTTTCTGCATCTATCAAGATGATCATCTGGTTTTTATTCTTCAATTTGTTAATGTGATGTATCACATTGGTTGATTTGCAGATATAGAAAAATCCTTGCATCTCTGGGATAGATCCCACTTCATCACTGTGTATGATCCTTTTAGTGTATTGTTGGATTCAGTTTGCAAATATTTTGTTGAGGATTTCTGCATCTAGGTTCATCAGTGATATTGTTCTGTAATTTTCTTTTTTTGTGATATCTTTATCTGGTATTAGGGTAATGCTGGTCCCATAGAATGCATTTGGAAGTGTTCCTTCCTCCACAATATTTTGGAATATTTGGAGAAGGATAGGTGTTAACTCTTCTCTAAATGTTTGGTAGAATTCACCTGTGAAGCCATCTGGTCCTGGACTTTTGCTTGTTGGAATTTTTT